TTTTGAAACGGGGATCCTGTTAAAATAAAGTATAGGTACATTTAGATTAGGTATAGGCACTTTATAGATTTAGGTAGGTGTTATCATTGTTATAAATTAGTATTATAAGATACAATTTACTTACTTCTAGAAGGTAAATATGATTGAGTCTGTGATCTGTTGCTATCTTCAGATATATTTACACTAGTTTTTTTTTTTTTGGAATATATTGATGGAGACTTTTTTTTGCCTGTTAACAAAATATAAGAATGGTTGAATATTTTATACCATAAGTATACAATTTTAACAAAATCTAAATAATAGCTTACTTTTAACATTTGAAATCAATACATTGCTAGAAGTAGAATCTGAATCATTATTATCTAACAGTATCAGAAATAATTATATATTGTATAATATTCATAAAAAATGTAATCATTCTATTTTACAATTTTACCTGTTTCAATAAACTTGGGAGGGCTTAGAATTTTGTTTTGCATTATTGTTTTGAAATGTTTTTTAGTTTTATTTTTTGAAGATAAGAAATCATAATTGTCATCATTCATTTTTTCATGTCGAATATTCCTTGTTCCATTATCTTCTTCTATGGAAGATAATTCAGACGTACAAGTTGCTCGTTTAGCTTTTTCGTTGGCTTCTTTTAAACTTTCTAAAAATATTTTAAATATAACGAAAAAAAATAAATATTTTTTAAGTTATGATTTTTGGTAATATTCATTATACTAGGTATTTTTAAATAGTAACTAATAATCATATGTATATATTTTTTTTTTTTTTTTATTAACATAAAGGCTTCAATTACACAGATTATTAGCCTGAAATTAAAAAAGTTTGTACATTATAATATTTACAGTTTTTTGTCAAGTTCTATTTTTTTAAAAAATTTGAAAATGTTGTCGGAGTTCTGTTGACTGAGGGTTTCTTCAATTGACCTTGGATTGTTGAGCAGGAAACGTGCGGTTGAGAATTTGGGGCAGACAATAATGATGTGTGCCATTGTAAGGGGAGTTTTACATGTGTCACACAAGGGGGGGGGGGGTTTCCTTGGTTATCATTATTATGTGTGATAATTATATAACTGTTAACAATTATATATCTGTATTTACAAATAGGTTTAGATAAGACACGAATTTCAAACCAGGTGTACTCAATAGTATTAGGTTGTTTTTTTCTTTCAATTTGCTTAGTTGGATTTAAATGCATTTTAGGCCAAGCACATGTTTTTCCATCCCTTGATAACCAGTGTGATGGAACCGCCTCCACTGAATCTTCTTTGATGAATATAACAATGTGGAAGGTCATATTTACAATGTGTACAAATGATACAGATGTTTCTGTAAAAAAAGGGATGTATCTTAATTAATACTCGATACTTGATTCTTAATTGACTAAAGTATTATTATACAGTTACCAAGTAAAATAAATATATATATATAGTTTTGTTCAATAAATATATGAGTTATGTATTATGTTCAATTATTGTTACTCAGATGAATGAAAAATTGGAAAAACTATTTTTGACCATTATTGTCTAAAAGCATAACTTTTTTTTTTTAATTTTTAAGAGGAATCCAACTTAACTCAGCGGATAAGTTGTCAACTATATAATATATAATATATAATATATAATATATATCAAAAATATATATCAAAAATAGCCGAACTCAATGGTTTTTCATAAAATGGTAGCTTAGTTAGAAAAACTTTTCCAACTAGAACTACCTACTTCATTTGTAGTCTTAGTATGAGCTATGTTTAAGATTTCCATTATATTATTATCTTTAGTTTATACAAAACGATCAACTATACTCCTTGTTTTTATAGTTGAATTTTGTAAAACGACGCATTTATACTGTGGTTCTGTTAAATGATCCAATAAAGGTCCTTGGGGATGTTCATTTTTAAAAACTATTTTTATATTTTTATCTCTATGAGTATTAACATTTTTTTGTTCAGAGTATCTTTTAATAATTTGTTGGAGAGGTTTATCATGTGTTCTTATAATTTTTTTGAGAGACTTCAAAAAGTTTCCATATGGAAAAGCACTTATATTGTCGAGGGATCCAAAGTTGAGATAATCATCAGAAATATGAAGAAGACTATGCACATTATGAGACATAAAATGTCTACCATATAAAATTTCAAATTGTTGAACAAAATATTTTAGTAAACATCTAGCGTAATCAATTTATTTCTCTTGCATATTTTCACTCAACAGTATTGTCATAGCTATATTTAGGGCCATAAAGTGTTTATAACATGCGTTGATTATATTATCTTTAAAAACAATTTGTCACGTATATGTTACAGGTAACGTTAACATTTGGATAATGTCGACATTATCCGGCTAATGTCGACATTAGCCATGCGTTTTGGTTAATGTGTAATTTTTCGTTTATTGTAATATTTTTAAACAATATCAATGAAGAAGACGAAAACGAAGGCGTGGATGAAACAAATAATGTTCAAGTGGTGAATGAAAATTGTTGTTCGAAAGCATCCAAGGACGAAGGATTATGTGACTTAAAATGCTCAAGACAGGTAAGATATTGTTATTTTAAATTACCTTTATTGTTCCCAATAACTAATAATTAATTTTTTACAGAAATCAATCGAAAATAATAGAAAAAAATCTGAAATTTGTTTACTGAACCAAGCTGAAAAAATTAAATTTAGGTCTATCCATAAGTTTCCCCCAGCCAACATTGGATACAGTGTGAGAGTCTCTTTACCGGATGTCGACAGAGCACGAGCATTATATTTGCAGTTGTGTCTATTGAGGATGGGCAATATTATAAACTTGGCAATAAATATGGTACTTTGCCACAGTTATACACCAGAAATCAATTTGGTGTTTGTCCTGTGTCTTTAATACCGCTTGATGAGGTGGTGCATGTAGAAAAATCATTGAGAGAAATTGCGAGTCAAATGTCAGATGGTGGTGGTCAAGGATATAAAAGGTGTTCATGTAAGGGGAAATGTGACACCAATCGATGTAAATTTAAATCATCTAGCATTTGGTGCAATTCAAAATGTCATGCTTCCATGACATGTAATAATAAAGGATAACACATTATGTATCGTAAGTAGGTTAGGTTGTTAAAAGTTAAAAATTAAACTCATATTATTAATATTATGTACTTTATAGTTGTTTCCAATTATGTCTTAAATATAATATTAATATTGTTAATAATTTAAATTATTGCATCTCATGTATGATACATTGTTAAGACATTATTCAAAAGTTCTTGGCTAATGTAATATTACCCGGTTAATGTTAACATTAGCCAAAATTCATGGCGGCTAATGTCTCATTAGCCGGATAATGTCGACATTATCCAAATGTTAACATTACCCGTAACATATACACCAGTATTTGACGTAGTGAAAAATCACAAAGTATATTCAGTTTTAATAATAAAAGTTGATCAGATATTTTTTTTTGTACTGCATCCTAGTAGGTATCCGAACACTTAAGGGTCCTTTATGAATTCATAATTGAATTAATTTCTTCATAATACCAAGGCAAACAAGATGCATATATTATAATCTAATGCAAATATGTTTACAATATCTATACCAGGTAAATCTGATAATATGGATATTGTAGGTTGAACATGATGCTCTTCATATTTTTTTTGTAATATAGTCATAATGACCCATAATGGGTACGCTTAATTTCACTACTGGCTGAATATGGGAAACATGATCGATTCTTCAAATATTCTCCTTATTCTAAACATCGTGAACAAGAGTCATAACCAGAATGACCTTTAGTTTTTAGCACAAATGCTTTGACAGGTGCATCTAAAGAAAATCCATCTATGATTACTTTTAAGATTACTCCATTTACATTAATACCATTTTGTAAATCCATAACAAATTGTTCTAAGTATAAATTAGAATTTGTAGGCTTTTCGTGGCCCCAGTAAATATCAATTGGGAAAACGGAATTTTTAAATGGCCTTGTATATGCTAAAATTGGCCATAGCTGACTAGAACTACTTTTAGAGATTGGTAATCCATCAATTCCAATCACTATTTTTATCACATCAATATCTTTAGTTGAATTAAATTTAAAATGATCTTGAATAGAAGAACTTAACCCAAAATGGTAGTATAAACCAAGACTTATGGTTGTTAAAGTATGTGTCACATTAGTTTTTTTTGTTTCTAATATAGTACGAGAATCTTTTGAAAGTGATGATAGTGTTGGGACTTTTTTCAAAATTATCAATAATCCATCCAATGCATTATGAGATATATTAAATTGTGTTGCCCACATAACTAAATCACTTTTGAGCTTATCACAAATATTAGTTGGTTCACAAGTTTGTATACCATATTCATTGTTCTCAAAAAACTAAAAATGAGATCATAATAGGAAATGAAAAACAAAATAATAGTTATTGAGAATATAGTAGAACTATTACCTTTGGAAATAACAATTTAGAATCGAAACAATTAATATCTGTCAAGCAATTTGCAGTAGTTCATTTTCTACTACAAAAATATTCCTTCTTGGGTTGATTATAAAATATAACATCATCACTATCAGATACTGCTTTCAGTTTACATGGGTTTTTCTTTGGCAAATTAAAATCATTAACATCAATGTCATATACAGATTCTAGTTCTTCTTTAACTCCCCTTCTTTTTGTTCTTTCGTCATCTTAATAATTTCAATATTATAATCTATTTTTTTTTAGAAAAAATCAGAATAAAACAACTACCTAAGTATCAGTGGCATACATAGGGAGGGGGGATAAGGGTTATATATCATCCCCAGACTTCTTTTACTTCTTTTAACTTTTAATCTCTATGAAAAGCTTCAGGTCCGTTTGTTGTCCTAGGATTCATAGATGGCTCGGCTGCCCAAAAATTAGGTGGGAATAAACTAGTTTCATCAATAAGAGTGTTTAAAATATAATCCGTAAAATATTCAACATTGGGTGGTGCATTGGCCATGAGAGTTATAAAACCATCATTCACCTCATTAGAAGGTAAATAACTTGGACCAAAAAAACTTTGAAGACACTGTTACACACCTGTTTTTCCAGCATAGTGCTTATTTAATTCTTTGTAATTTTTAATAAGACGAAACCAGGCTTGACTTAAGTTAAAACGAGATAACCTATTGGAAATTATCGTATGTACCCAAACGTGCTATGTGTTTGTGTGCCCAAACGTGTTCTACATTTACAGGTAAAAATAATGCAATGTGCCCAAACGTGCAAAAAAATAATCTAATAATATAAAAAAAATAGTTCCATTAATTTTAACAAAATATAATAATAATTAATGAATCATAAGTTGTTTCTTAAAATATAAGTAAAAACATTATAATCAATAAATTAATACATTAAATCAAAAAGTTTTTTTTTCTGGCTTTTGAGTTGGCAAAGTCTGTTACCTATTATCTTATTAATATTAAGTTCAGCGGTCCGTTTACTTTCAATGTTCAAAATACTTATATTTTTTAATCGATCTTGACCAGTAATCGATCTTGACCAAAAGAATTCCGAAGATAATTTTTTATTAATTTAAGCTTTGAAAAGCTGCGTTCTGCAAATGATACTTTTATCGGTAAAGTTAAAAATAAAAGACATGCCAATAATACATCTGGATAACTTATAGACAAATCCATTTCAATAATTAATACACATAAATCTTTAATAGATTTTAGATTTTGAGACAAATGTTTGTTTTTAGGCATAAAATTTGAAATCTGAAGTTACATCATCTTTATAAAATTTAATGAAATCATAAGTAGATTTAATTAGGGAAGACTGTTCGTAGCTCAAAATTGATTTCGGGCTTAAAAATGAGAAACGATCAGAAACACATTTCATTCCATTAAACCGTTCTTTGACTTTAAATATTATACAATCCACAACTGGTAAGAATAATCTTGACAAATATCAAATCTCCGGTCACCGTCAACTTCTCCAAATTCTTTTTTATGAAACTTAGGTCTCGAAGAATGGAAAGAAATATCAATTCCCCATTCATCACATAAGCGTTTTGATTCTAAATATATTATGCTGTAGTCATTTCACATGTGTTGCATATTTTGAATAGCTTTATCCAGAAGCATAGAAGCATTCTCTAATGAAATATCCGTACTTTGTAAAATTTTAGATAAGGTCAGGTGGGGTAAGTGGCTAATTGAGTACTGTAAAATACTAAAATATGATTAAACCAAAGGTTCCACTGTAATATAAATTTACAATGTTTTTGGAATAAGGCAAAAATAATGATTGATGATGTACAATCACGGTTTAAGATATACAGGTTAGCTATCGGTCGCCTAAATTGCATTGATAGCTGCGGTCAGAACTCGTTACGGGCTTAGGACACTATTTCATCACATCTATAGAGCGCTAGTAGTAAGTAGGGTCATTACAGTAAGTTATATAACTTATTTATACATTCTACGATATTGCCCTTTGCCAAAATGACATTTGCGACTTGCGGTTTACTATAGTAGTATAGTGAATAAAGGTGAATAATGCCGCATTCGTGCTGCATTGTTGGATGCCAAACGGGGTATAAGTCTAACCCTGATACTTTTGTTTTTACTTTCTCTTTTCCAAAAAATGAAAGTTTGAGGAAAAAATGGATAAATGTGATTCCACGAAAGAACCTTATTGTTACCAAAAATTCAGCAGTTTGTGCTAACCACTTTACTGAAGATCAAACTATTACAAAATGGACCTCAGGGTTTGGCGCTAATAAAGTGTGTGTAAGTATTTTTTTAATTTAAGTTTAAAAAGCTTAATATTTGAATAACTTGATTTATTACATATATTTTTTGTTAGAGAAAAAAAATTTGGTTAAACTATGCATACATTTATTGGTGTTATAAATATAATTTAATTTATATAGTTAATTTATTATTATAATTTATAAATATCCTATATACTACCTATGCAATGTTTATTTCCTGGCCCAAAATATCTTTCAAAAACAATTAAAAAAAGAAAATCACCTACAAAGCGAGTTAACTTCATGTGTACACCCAAAAAAAAAAAATTTTTTTTAAAAAAATGAAACCATTAGAAGTAATTTATTTCATTATTTCTTATAATTGTATTAGTTTAGTAGGTAAATATATATTATTTCTATATCTGAAATTTGGTGTGTGTTCAAACCTTGTTTTAAACTATTAATATTTTCATTTACAGGTTAATTTTAATGTAGATGAACAAAATCCTGAATCGATTGAACTTCTTAAATGTCCTAATAACATGTCCACAAATCAAGATTTTGAAAAAAAAATGCAGTGGTAGGTAAAATTCAGTTAAGAAAAGGATTATATGTAAACACGCGGGATTTGACTTATTCAGGTTTAGTAGATATGGGAGAAGAAGTGGAAGTCTCCGGACATAACGCTGACCATGGTTTAGTGTTCTTCTTTCAAAGCCTAGCTGATACATTTTCACAACTTATCGCAATGTTCGGTTCTTCTAATCCAATTAAAGGTTATTTATATTTTATTATTATTTATTTATTATATTATTTGACGTTTCTTATAATTTTTGTAGTAGACTGAAAACTATATTTTTTTGTTTCAGGAACCGTGTTAGCTCAATTTGTATTGAAAGCCATCATACTTTTGGAATCATCTGGGTGCTTAATAGATGGTATTGTTAGTGATGGCGCAACTACAAATCGTAAGATGTGGACGGAGTTGGGAATAAGTTTTGAATTAGGAGCAGTAAAAATTATTTCACACATCCTTCTCAAGAAAACAGAAAAATTTATGTATTTTCTGACGTCCCTCATCTTTTCAAAAACATTAGAAACCTTTTACATGACAAAAAATACCTCAAGGTTGTTTTTGTGAATTTTCTATTATTTTATTTTATTTTATTTGTTAACTTTTAATGAAGGTAAATCCTGATGGAAAGTGTATCAGTTGGTGGCATTATATAGAAACATTTAAGGCAGATCTTATTCATCCAGGAAATGCACGTGCTATCCCGAAAATCACTAAAGATCATCTTTATTTATCAAATTTAATGAAAATGCTTGTACGTTTAATGACACAGGTAAAATATTAAAGTACTTAAAGCATTTAAATAAATTGTAATAAAGTATAAATTGCTATAATTTATTAGTGTAACTTGTTTTTTTCAGGTATTTAGTCACTCAATGGCATGTGAGATAGAATTTTACAGACGCAATAGAGTAATTGGTTTAAGTGGTAGCGAAGAGATCTCAAGAGTTCACTTTATTTTTAAATAACCTGTTTGATGCCTTGAACCGTCGTTAAACTGCTGAAGGTATTTTTAAATCCAGTGAAGATTTTAAGGTATTTAATAACAGTTTTTAATTTTAATTTTTAAGATCTCTTAAAATAGTTTTCACTTATACTAATGTCTAATTTATTCTAATTTTTATTTTTATTTTCATAGATTTTGGAAAATCTAGAGATTTGCCTCAATGGTTGGGGAAAAAATGTTAATGAATTAAAAATAAATCATAATGAATTTCTTACACATTCAACTGCAGAAGGACTACGTGTTACTTTAGGCTCAACAATAGAACTTTGTAAATATCTATTGTATGACTGTAATTTTAGATATGTTTTAACAGGAAAAATGAATCAAGATCCTTTAGAAGTATTTATTTTAAAAATTAATCTATGAGTGTATAAAAATAAAAGATTACATTTTGTGTTTGAATTTCAGAAATTTTTTGGAATGATTCGACAAGCAGCTGGTCCTAACGACCATCTTACAGGTCCCACTTTCTTACATCTTTATCGTATCTTATCAATTTATTCTGTACTACGTCCCCCTAAATCTGTGAATTGTACTATACTTGATTCTCAGGCCCCTAAAATTGGTTTATCAGAATTAAAAGAAATATTTCACTGTGAATCAACACCAAGACAGGAAAAGATAAAAAGTTTAAAGTCTAAAGTTGACATGCTTATTGATCAAGGTTCATGGGAAGCAGATGAAATATTTGCAGATCACAACTTCAACAATTCTTCTGTATTAAGTTGTATAGTTTACTATACTACTGGGTATGTATCAAAGAAGATTGCTAAAAATACATCATGTCAAATTTGTTTGAGCGCATTGAAGACTAATGATCAATTTGCTGATTTGCCGGAAGCTGAGTTGATTAACTTAAAATCAGAAGGAGGATTGACACATCCCAATATACGATTGTTTCAATTTCTATACAAAGTAGAAGAATGTTTTGCTAAACACTGTAATCAAAAAAATGTGTTTGATCTTACAGTTGAAGATGCTTTAAGACTTAAGTTTT